GTTTTCAGGACTCTCAGGACTTCACTGACCTGGTCACTTATCTTCTAACTTGGATCAGAGATGTGATGGTGGTTCTCTAAAACCACAACAGATGTCAAAAACATTGACATGGTGCTGCTGGGAAATGAAGCCGGCACTGGTCTTAAAATACCAAGCTGGAGCCCAGCTCTGCCACAAGAAATTACTTATCTCCTAAGTAATAATATCTGCAGCTGAAATAGCAGTATTGGTCCTACATTCATTTTTACCTTGTCAAATAGTTGACAGTTCAATGCGTCTGGCTTTAATTCTGCTTTACAGGTTCTGAAGCTGGATGATATTGAGGTGCTTTAAATCCCATTGATGTGAGAAACAGGCTGCTAGTACTTAACTGCTGACCTCTACTGAATGTGTTTTCCAGCACATAGTATTTAATACTGCATGCACTAATCCAGGCTTAATGTGGAAGAGGAGAATCCATTAGATGAATTGTATAAATGCCTGATGCGCTAGAAGCAGTAAAGGGCATTTTGTGGGATCAGATATTAACACCTAACCCGGTAGTGATCTGTAGTTCCTGTTGAGTTTCTTGCGTGTCAAATGTACAGTGCAGTTAGCAGCACGCTGGCAGGAGCCATTCATTAGGTGTGCAGCTGCGGGAAGTGATGGTGTGCACAGGGAGGAGCCTAGTTACGCCTGTAACTTGTGCTGTCTCCAAGTGTTGTGGCTCATGCTGGGGCAGGGTGGGTGGTCTTTAGGACACCTTGGTGGTATCTGCACAAGGAGTCAGTAGGAACTTGTCTGTGGACTGACTGGAGCAGATAATTATAAAAAAGCACAAAATAGTTAAAAGCTCAAACGCTTCCTCTGATCTTAAATACAGTTTGTAAAAGATGCTTAATTTCACCGATGCTGTGTTTTCATAGTGCTTGCATTAAACTTGTGATATTTTAAAATGAAAATTATCTTTAACTGGCACTTCTAGAAACACCAAGCAGGTGCAGTTGCTGTTGGCCACTGTAAAAGCTGCTGGTGCTCCTGACTTCCCCCGATCAGGTCAATTGTGATGCTGATGGCTTTCCAGGAAATTCGTGCTCTCCCCTGCATTGCCTCTCTGCAGTGGGCAGATAGGGTGCATTCACCATTCCTATCCTTGCTGCCTAAAAATCTGGGATCTAGGTTTTGCTAGCTTGAGAAGAGTAGAAGAAATTGGTGTCAAACTACAGAAGTGTCATATGCAGCTGGGCTGGAGTAAATGCTGAATTTCTAGACAGCTGAAGCTAGGAGGGAGTCCTGCCTGCATTAGTGCTCACTACTGAGAGGGATGTGATATGATATTAATATGGAAGTGTTGAGTCAAGTGCAGGGCAGGATCTCCAGAAACAAAGTCACTGTAGTAATTAATCATAGCAACTGAATCTGGACTTAACTCAGTGGTTGGTAGGAACATTAAGTTGGTATTTTCAGTCAAATAGCATTGTAGCTAGTAAGACTTTATTTTTCTGGCATATATATTTTTTGCTACGGTTTTGCCTTATCCAATTACAAATAAAATAACAAACCTGAAGTGCAGTTACTAATGAGGATGTGGGGGAGCAAGGCAGTAAAATAGGAAACAAAGTGACCATGCTAGTAGCAATGTTCTTAAAACACCTGTCCTGGTGTAACTTAGAGGCTGAAGCTCTTGTGCAGTAACTGTAAGTGCCTGTTAAGGGCTGAATCTTCTGCCAGGCAGGTCTATTCAATGTAACACCAGAGGAGTTTATTCTTTTTCTGGAGACTGCAAGTATGCCTAGTTATAAACTGGGAAACAGGGAATGAGTTGATAATATTGGTCTCCTTCCTGGCTATTGTGTATGTTCAGAGGTGTCAAAGAGCCACGGTGAGCAGGCAGCTAATGTCAGAACACTGAAATAGGATTTCTGTTCAGTTTAAGCTCAGCTAGAGGAGTCAAGCACATGGTGAATGCAATAACAGTTGGGTACTTGTAGGTGGGGGACTGAGCTGCATCTTTAGTCCTCCTAAATTAGTTTGACTGTAACTGAGCTAACAAGCTGCCCTAAAACTCTGCCACTCTCTTGTGCCTAGCAGCCTGTCTGAAATTACTAGAAATAAGCTCAGATAGTTGATTTGCCTTACATCAGTGAAATTGTAGGGAAGAAACCTTTCTGTGAGATCTAAGTTTATTGCATAATTTGGTCTTTTTGCCTCTTAATATGTTTAGAATTGGGCTTTTAGTGAAAAAGCTGACCTATAATTGTGGCTGTTGCTGCATCTTTCCAAGCAGTCTTGCAGCTTGTCTTGGAAATTCTTGTCTTGCTTAACCCACAGAAACTTAAACAGCATTCAGTGAGAGCAGATTGTGTTTACATAATTTCCCACGATTTCTCTCACAAAAGAGACATGGAGTAATTCTTTGAGACCTGTTTGTAATACCCTGAAAAAGCATTTGGTTTTGCTTTTCAGATTCTGGATGATTTCAACATAGAGACCTGAAAGTGGTTTTCTTTTTGTTTGGAAAAAATCCCTGCCTGTAATTCGGGGTTTCTTGTTCTGGTGGCTTTTAGCTCTGAAATCAAATTTGTAGAGAAACTTCACTTGCTTCATGCTCTGGTACAGCATCTTAGTGTGCTAAACACTTACAGGCTAGTTAGCAGTGGCTTATCAACAAGTAATGTGACTCTAAGTATGCCAACTTAGATCTCAGCTGCCTCCACATGAGAAAAGATTTCTCTAATTTCTCTCCAGTTGCGTTTTCTGGCACCAGAGCTCAAGAGGAATCCTTCGTGTGGCAAAACACCAGCTTTAATTCCATGATGATTGTCATTGCAGGCAGGCAGATAGCCCTTTTCTATTAGAGTTGTGACTGCAAAACAGGATTTAGAAGTTTGGAAGAGTCTTCTAGATCTACAGCTTTTGATTGAGTCTGCATCACATACAGAGACAATCACTGGTGCTTCAGGCTCAGCCTTTGCAGTGGTCTTCTTGAGACAAAACCCTCAGGGTTAGACAGTTTGAGAGCAGAGGGTTTTTACTGAGAGGAATGAGAGCTGTGTCCTCAGCTCCTTGACCTACCTATGTGGGATATAAACACGGTAATGCTAGTACACTTAAAAAGCAGTATGCCTTTTTTTCCTGTTGCCTGGAAACTATACCTGTGTAGAAGACATAGGTTCTGCCAGGAAATCTTGTAGCTAGCTCAACCCTGAGTTTTGTTGTCTCTTGCATTTTTTAATCTCAGTCCTTGGGCTGTTTAGCTGTCTTAGATCTCACAAAACTGCATGTAAGCACAGGAATGGGCTTTTTTGGGAAACTCCCAGTGTGGTACGGAGGAGTCTGCAGTTAGATGATGCAAGCACTCGAGTTGAAGTGAATCTGCTCTGCCCTGGGTAAATCTCTGCTCTGCTCCCAGAGCAGAGTGGCATGCTGTAGAGCCAGGCATGTCCTTGCTGCAGTAGCCGCTCCCTTCTGAGATGGTGTAGTGACATTCACTTGCTTTTCTTGGAGCAACGCCACTGGTGTAACTGACCTTAAACTGTGGGCTAGGATTGTTTAAGTGGATCATAAATCTTTTGGTTGTGAGCATGCCCTGGGAAATGACTGCGGAGTGAGGGCTCGGTGCTACTGTAACGTATCTACACATAGCCAGTATCACAAGCAGGCATGTACAGAACATAAAGCCACGTGAGCAGCTGAATTTGTTTCGTAAAGGTGAACAGACAACCTTTTCTCAGCTACCTGTCACTCTGGCCCCATAAAATTTGGGTTGCAAGGCAAAGGCATATGCTGATCAATAAGTAAAACTATAACCACGTACTTAATGGTTCAGCAATCCACTTTGGTTGCCTGCTTCTGTTTCTGGGGAATAAAACTTCCCATAGCTTGTTCTGTTGAACAAGGTCAGCACCCTGTGTCCAACTGGCATGGTTAGATGCTTAAGTGGAAGGGGGTGACCTGGGATTGGGATTCTGCTCTCATGATGTGCATCTCGCTTTTGGGATCTTTTCTTGCATTCTCAGTGAAATGTGAGCCTGGCTGAGGTGCAGGGACCAGGAGATACTTCTCTGGACATGCTGCGCTAGACTGGTGGTGGGACTTTCTTGGTGGATTGAGCAGTGCCAAGGGAAGGGTCTCTGCTCCACATTGCAGCAAGCAGTGTGTGAGACGCGCTTTCAGACGGGAGTGTTTTTGGCACTTAAGCAGTCCAGATTCAGCCTGCTTTCCTTCTGACTGGCTTTTCTGACTTCTGTGAACGGCAGGGTAGCACAGAGAAGTTAATATCCAGTTCTGGGATCTCTGCAGTCATCTCACAACGGACTCAGCTCAGAGTCTTGCCCCGCAGCTGGCTGCTGACCACTGGAAGATAATGTTTGCTATAATTGCCCATCACTATTTGGTTCATCAAGTTGCACTGATTTATTAAACAGACACAGATGGTATTCAGATCTGGGAAATGCTTGTGGTGGCAAGAAATTTTGTATTAGGGACACAGGTAGATGGGCCTGCTTAACTTGCACACAAGAAAGGCAAAAAAACCTTTGGATCCTAGTAGAGTAAGTATCTAACAAATTTTTCTTCTGCACAGAAATAGTAATTTAACATATTTGCACTGGCAAATGTAAAACAGGTCTTCACATTTGCAAAAATTTTTAGCCTGCTTCTGAACCCAGAAAAGCAGCAGTAGTATCTTGAGTTCCAGCTTTTCAAATCTATCTTACCCTGTTTAACAAGTTGTTGGATTTTGTTTCTTGACTTAGGACATGGTAGATGCCTTTTGGCTTGTTTTCTGAGCATTATCAGTCCAGGTCAGTCCTGGTGTTTAGATTTTTCTTGTTTAGTTGGTGTTTTGCTCTTAAGAAATTGGGTGGAGTTATACTGTGGGGCCACATGGGTACTGGTGTATAAAATGAGTAATTTAATGGTCTTAATTGAAATAGTTTTTTCCAACTTTTCATTGTAATAGTTGCTTGTTGATGTCTTTTTTTGTTGTTGTTGTTTTGTAACTAAAATATATTGCTTTTTTCCAGGCTCATATTAAATTTCCTATCGACTATCCATATTCACCACCTACCTTCAGATTCCTGACCAAAATGTGGCACCCCAACATTTATGAGGTAAGGTGATTTTTAGATAACTTTTTCTCAGGCATGTGAGAAGGCTTTCTACTTCCTTAAATTTCTGGAAGTATTGAAGGTACTAAATGTCCCCACCTGTAACTAAAGTGGTTAGCTGTTTGTGTTAAATGTCAGCTTCATGGTTGAACAGTCAAATCTAAACATTGTAGGACGTAATGTTCTTGTAGGCAGGGATGGAGCTGTTCTCATACCTGCAAGTGCAGCAGGCAGCCCCAGCTGAAGTGGCATACCATGAGCATTGGCAATTTTAGGGGATTCTTAGATCAGAGCTGTTGTGTGGTGTCGTACCCTGCTGTGACACTTGGGCAACTAGTTGTTGTTTGTACTCAGTTCAAGTACACTTTAATTTGAGTGTATCCTACAAAACTGTGTGTTGAGACAAGAAATAATGGAGAAGTCTTCTGCAGCAGTCAACCTACAAATGAAGGGGTTTGGACTTGGGGTGCTCTGACTGCAGAAAAAAACAGAGCTGGGTTGGAGTCCAGCATCAGGAGTCATCATGCACTGCCCGGTCACCCTGGGAGCAGAGTGAACAGGTATCTCAGCACTTACTGTCTGCTAGCCAGTTTAAAGTGGCCCTTGGCTCAGGGCATGCATGGCTCACGTTCAGAGGGTAATGCTTTGGGCTGTCAGGTCCATAATTGGATGTACAACATGATTGGATGGTACAACTAGATAGCAGGTCTAGAAGAGGAATGATTTAATATAGAAGCAATTGGTTCAAAATTACCAAATTTCACATTGCAGTGTTTGAAAGTCGAAGGCCTGTTTTCACTCAAAACTTGACTTCTAGTGGACGTCAGTCAAATCCTTGCTAAACTTTTGGATATCTTAGACAAGTGTCAGCCTGCTAGCAGTATTGGTTGAATAGTTTGAGGAGCTTTCAGAATGTTCCTATTGGTGCAGCTCTGTCACCTTATCACAGGTCTTCCTGTGAGAGATTCTGCAGGCTTCTTTTGGACTCACTTCAAAACAAGAATGTCACTTCTCTTCCTTGCTGCAAACGAAAAATGCTTCAGTTGATGCCTTGGGCTTGGAAGGCCCTTTTCTAACAAGCTGTTGCTACTACATGTCCAGCCTAGAATGAGTACGCTTCAAATGTCATGGTGAAAAATGCACTGATGGCTTAATAATCAATGGCCAAAAGCCTCTCCAGAGTCCAGTGCAGAATGGGATAGTAACCAGCTTTAATTACTGGATGCTCAGGTGTCTTGCCCTAAGTGCAGAGACATCCTGAAACGAGTCATCTGACAGTATTCTGACTTGAGTTTTAGACTTGGCCCAGAGTCTTGTGAGTAGCCAAGCATGATGTTTCTCTTTAAGGGTCTATTTCAGTTACATGGGAGTTTGATCTATAAATAAAGACAACTTTGAGACCTGCAGGTTACTGCAGATCCATACTGTGGATGTTGATTCTGAATCCAGAAATTCTTATGCAGGAGGCAAGTGGGAAATAGTTACCAAAATGGTATGTACAAAACGAGTCTTGGAAAGGACCTCTCCCAATCCTGGTGGGAAAGATGAGAAATTGGCTCTAGAAACAACTGAAGGTAGGAGGAGAAACTAACCCAAAGCTTGACGGGTGTATTTTGGGGTTACTCTTCAAATACTCCAGCTCTCAGCTTTGTACTTTGTGTTCGTAGCAGTGTTTCTTGGAGCTGAGGGAATCTGAAGCAGCTTGCAGGCTGTTTTGGAAACAACATTTAAGCAATGAAGATGAGCACTGGGATAACTCCAAATGAAACAGAGAATAAATCACCAAAGGGCTGGAGGCTTGAGGGTTTGTCAGGAGGAGGAAAAAAACCAAAACTTTCAGTGTAAGGAAGATGAAAGAAAGTAGCAGTTTACGGAATCTGCTGGTGGGACTGGATGGGGAGGCTGGGGCTGATGTTTCAGTTCTGAGCAATGAGACTTGAGTAACTTGTGTGTTTTCACTGTCTCAAGTTTAGTTGGGTCACCTAGCTGAATATTGGTAAAACTGCATTCATCTGTTTTTTATTTTTACGACACAACAGTTCTCAGTCTTAACAGAAGTATAGGCTATTTCCCACTGGCAAATGAATACCCTACCTTCCTTGTTTACATCTTTCAAAAATGTATGTAGGGAAGGGCTCTCTTCTTGACTATGCTGATCCCCTAAAACCTTGTGCTGATCTTGTCGGGCTCCATGGCACTGCTTAGCCCTTCCAGACTCTATTGCAGTGCTGTCCTGCTTGAATTCCCAAACATGTAACATTGACTGTTGCAAGAGGGAAGCTTCTCACATCCTTGCTTCCCTCTATATTTTCATATTTCCAAATACCTGCTCGTCCACATGCTGCTGATCTGATTGCTTGAGGAACTTCCCTGCCAAGTGCTGTGATGCTTTCTTCTGGCCACCAGCACTGCATCCCAAGAGATGGTCAAAGGAAAAACTGGGTAAATTCATCACAATTATTAATAAAAAACATAATAGGCTGTGAACATAATCTAACACTAGTAAGGTTAACTTCACCTTAAAATTATATTAAAAAATATTTCTAGATTGCACAAGCCTGTTGGAGTCCTAAAAAGAAAACTGCCTTGTTATGGCAAACTGTTCCAGCAACGTAAGTGTGTGCTTGGGTATTCAGCAGCTCCAGGTGCTACACTGCTGTGCGTAGCTGTGTTCTTGATGAAAACCTGCTTCAGAATGATGAGGGCTTGCTAGATTAGCATACCTGGCAGGGTTAGGGAGCCACTGAAATCTGGATACTGATCACAAGCCTCCAGTGTTGAAGCAGGATTTTGTTTGGCTATAAAACAAATGTCATTGTTAATCAAGGCAAGCTGAAATGTTTGGGAGGCCCTTCAGGTGAGCTGCTGCTATCTGTAGCTGTGATCGCTGGCTGGGGCTCAAAGGTACAGATGCTGTTGCTGCAAGCAGCACTACTTGGTGCTCTGGCTCCTCTGCGTTGGGCAGCGTTGGAGTGTCCCCAAAACATAGCTGAGACCGGGTGTGTGGGGAGCTGCCAGCCTCCAATCTCAAACAGGACCGATCCGCAGCTTCTCTCTTGTTCCTGTCATCAGCCTGTGTGCCTTGGAGGAGGGTGACAAGGGGACAGCGCTGCCTGCCAGCCGAGGCCGTGCCACCCCAAGGAGAGGTGCTGCCTCTAGGAACTTGTAAGTCACCCCAGCAAGGGGCAGCGAGCCAGAGGGGCCCTGAGAGGCCAGGGTCTGCTGGCTGGCCTGGGGGCCCATCCACACCGTCACCCCATCCTGCGGTAAGGCACTGGGACCCCACCGAACCCTGGGGTCAACTTCAGTGGAGAATACCAGCTGTGGTGAATGCTGCTGCAGCACTGCTATGAAGTAATTGTGTCAGAGTGCTGCTGCTGATGGAGAATTGGTTTTACAGGCTTCTTAAAATGTTTATAAATGGTCGGCATTATGGAGCCTTAAATCTATATTCAGGCTGTAACACTGGTGAGTAAAACAGATTGAGAATTACGTGGCTGTATGGCTTCCATATGCTGCCAGAATATTCTACCTCTTGCATGCTGGAAGGGATTTTCAGTGAAACCTTCAGAGAGCATCTCCTTCTTTTTCACCTGGTATTTCCAACAGCTGTATCCTAGGAGAGCAGTGTAAGCCTGCCCTGCACCATCTGTTCAACCTCCTTGTGTCCTCGGAGTAGTGTTGTACCTGAGCTAGTAGAGCGCTAAACCGTTCAATTGAAAAAACCCCTGTAGCTAACTCAGCTACCACTGGGAACAAAAAATTTTTTAACCCTACTTTGGGTCTGCTGCAACTAAAACTCACTTCTGTCACTGTAACAGTACTTGCTGAAGACCAGTTTAGTTTTATGTGACTTTATTACTCTTTTTGCTTGCTTTGCTACATTCTTTAAACCTCTTGAGATTTGTTTTGTACCAATTTATAGACTAACCCTTTTGAGCATATAAGTAGAGTAGACCCAGGAAGAACTGAGAACCATTTCCAGTTCTTGCATATTTTTACTGGTACTTGGGGTGTCCATATTAAGAGTCAAACTGCTTGGAACATAGCCAGTGTGGTAGAGTTGAGTCATCAGACCTCTGCCTCAAACCAGGCTATTCTCAGCTTTTGTTTCTGTCTTGCAGAATGGAGATGTATGTATTTCAATTCTGCATCCACCTGTAGATGACCCACAAAGTGGAGAGCTGCCATCTGAGAGGTGGAACCCTACCCAAAATGTCAGGTAACTGAATTTGATGTACAATGGTGACCTCAGAGGCCTGTTGCCCCTCTCCAAGACTAAGGCCTGTGCTGGGAGAGGTCTGGAACAGAAGTTGAGACTTTGGGGGTTGTAGGGCTTGAATTGAGTGGGAACCAGACTTACCAAGGTGTCTGAAAATACTAGAGTGCTGTGTGTCCTGATACTGAGCTAAAAATGTGGAGCCTTCTGTCCTGTTCACAGGGTTTCATGCTCTTAAAGCAAATTATTTCAAGTGTTCGCCTTTCCCAGACCATGTTACTCTACACACAGGTTTTAAAAACTCCTCCAAGATACCACTAGTGAAAAAGAACATTTTTGAGTATTCAGGCCCAGGAGGGAATAACTTTGTATACAATCCTGCCTACTGTTTGCCTTCCAGTGTTTGTTTCCATCTCCTGTCCTGCAGTGTCCTTTATTGAGCAGTCAACCAGGTAGTTTTCTTCCTGCCAGAGAAACTGAAGGATCACTAAATACCAGAGGCATTCAAAACTAACATCTCATTTTTTTTGAAACACCAGCTGAAGTTCATTCTCATTACAAGACACTGCCAATAAAGAACTGACTAGGTGACAAGCCTTAACTCATGGTTCGGAAACAGCTTTGGGCATTAATTGCTTACTGCACACACATTTTGAGTATTTCATTATATACAACCCTAAAAATTGACATGAAACTTTTCATGGTGCTAGTTCTCTGATTTCTGTTCTCCCTTACCATGGTGCAGTTTTTGGTGCTTACTCTCTTGGAATGTGTTGGGTTTAAGTGTGACATCTGGGGAGAAATCATTCCTCAGCTCTATCAAAGGAAATAAAACTTGTCCTTAACTGCTAGCCTGCTACCAGCATCACCCGCTGGGCCAAGTGGCGATGGAAGTGCATCCTGCTGGGGTCCCACCTGGCTTTGTAAGGCTCCAGAGTGTCGGGCAGGAGGCAGCAGGGCTGGAGGTGTGGGAGGGGAGCATGCTTGTAATGAGCTGCCTGTGTAACACAGGGCTTCTCTGCAGCTGCTGAATTTTGTAAATCCTGTGGAGTGTTGACAGTTTACTTACAGGTGACTGGCCGAAGTGTCTGGAGGGGGGGGAATGTCATTCTTCGACTTCGAGAGCTCCTGTGCTTCCATCTCTAATGGTGTCAAGCATGCTCATGAATTGTTTTGAACACGGATGATATGGGCTTTCCCATCACTTGGAGCTAGATGAGGCAGGTATAAGTAAATATGGAAACATCCATCAAGATGTGAAGGAATGCAGCTGTGGTCTGTGTGGCAGAGAATACTGCTTTTCTTCTCATACTGAGTCCCATAGAGTTGAGGAAGTGGTGGCAGAGCTTAGAATTGAGGCTTTTTGATAATTTTAGTTGCCCTTTTCCATATCTCCTATCTCCCCTGGGAGGGTGAAGGTGTCTGTCCTTTGAGGTGCACAAACTGAGCACAGTATTCATGACGTTGGTACATCTGTATCTTGTGAAGATAGATGATGCCCTATCTCCCTATTGCTTGGTTTCCTGAGGATGCCCATTTTTGTTGGCTTTTTTTTTGGCTGCCTAAAATGTAGACAGTTTCTGCAGCCTCATTGCACTAACATGATTGTCAGTACAGTCTAAGACAAAAGTTCTGACTTTATACTGGAGACCAATAATGTGCTAGGACAAATCTATACCTATCTCTAAAGGTGGATCTGAGAGGCTACAATGTGAATAGCAGCTAGAATAAAAAAAAAAGATATCCTTTTTCATCAAGGTATATAACAGTATGTACTGGTTGGGAGCACCAGCCAGTCTACATAATGTCTATTTTGGGTGGAATTCATCTGTGTCTGAGCCTTCTGTTGATGCATGGATAGAAAAACACACTTAACTGGCCTGTTTCCTTTGAGCCTCTGCTGGTAAAGGGATGTAGAGGGAGTCACTCTGAAGACAACAGCGCTGTAAACACTTAAAGCAGCTCCCTGTTCCCTAGAATGGGGGGATGTAAGAAAGCAGAAGGCAGGATTGAGATCTCCACTCTTCATGCAGTCAGCTTGTGTGAAACAACGTGCTAGAACAGCCTTGCCTGAGAGAAACAGATCTCTGTCAGTGGTGCAGAGGGTCAGTCTATATCCAGTCCAGTGCAGGTTGTATCTGATGCTGAGGCTGTTTTCAGTCCCATGTGGTTGAACCTTTTTTCATGGTTTTGGTCCTGTCAGATCCCACGTGCTGGAATCCTTGTTACTGTACTTTACTTGTTTACCCACCGTAGCAGGGTTTGGGTCAGAGCAGACTCTCCAGCTCTTTACGGTATCAGCAGTGATGCAGCTGATCTAATGCACTGGTTGGGAAGAAAGAGTACAGAGAGCCTCACCTCTAATAGTTGCCTTGGTGCGTTTAAGTAGCTTTGCCATGACTTTGGAGTCTGGGACACCACAGTGGAAATCAGCTTCTCCTCACTCCGTTGATGTAAGTGTGGTAGAGCAGATGCTAAATCCAGACATGAATTCCTGTCCTCAGCCTTCCCTAGACTTTGCTTGCTCTCCAGTAAAGCTGCTGCAGTGATGCTGCAGTTGACGTGCTGGATTTACAGCCTGGTTCCTGAGAATCAAAGGCTTTAAAATGAGTTCTTGAAATGAAATAGAAAGCAGTTTCTCTTGTGTGCCCATCATTCCAGTCTGACCAGATAGGCTTTTATTTCAAGAACTGCTTTTCTTTTCCTACTGAATTATGTAATTTGGAAAATAAATTGTACAAGACTTTCCTGATAGCTTGTCCTGGTTTGAGCCTAGAGGGCATCTGAGCACCACAGAGCTGTTCACTGACCCCTTCCACTCAGGAATGGGAAGGAGAAAATAAAGCAAAAGGCTCAAGAATCAAGATAATAACAGGGAAGGATGACTCATGCATTATGGTCCTGGGCAAAAGACAGACTCATTAGGGGAAGAAAAAAAAGAGAACATCCTTTTAATTCAAACACTAACAACACTTAACAGACAGGGTAAGACAGTGAGGAGCGTTACCAGATCTTAAAAACACCTTCCCCCTACCCCTCCCTTCTTCCCTATGGCCAGTCCTGCCACTCCTTCCTCCTCAGGCAGAGGACCCCTCGAATTCTCCCCTGCTCCAGCGTGGGGTCCCTCCCACAGGAGACAGTCCTCCATGAGCTTTCTCCTGCGTGAGTCCTTCCCACGGGCTGCAGCTCTTCCCATGCTGCCCCAGTGTGGGCAAGCATTTCCTGGAATTCTATCCCAGACATACAGTCTGATAGATGTGTTCAGCATGTGCTGCTCTGAATGTGCCCCTAAATCAATGCAAGTACAGCTGGGGATGTGGTGTCCTTTAATCACGGGCTGCAAAGCAGTTGCTATGTACTGCTGTATTTCAAGCCCTATTCCTTGTATGTTGTTCTTCCCTTCCAATTAAATCAAAAGCTGTTGCCTGCAGGATCACCTCAGACAGGTGAAGCTATTGCAACAGTAGCTACAGCCAGGTAGCTGGTGTGTACAGCTGCTGGATGGGACTTGCTGTTGAGTTTTGTGAGGATCAAAGGGCTGAACCTCTGATGTGGCATGAAGTGTTGGAAATGCAGGAGAAGGGTCTGGGTGAGGGAAGTGGTGTTTGCCAGCAGTGCAGGGCAGCTAACTCTGTACTGCTGCTAGAAATCCAGGAAGGCTGTCTGTCTGCGGGGGGTTACATGCCTGGCTTTGCTGAGCACCAGCAGCTAAAGCCTGCTGGGTCCTTGGTGGCTTGCCTGGGTATTGAAAAACTTCTGCACTGTCTTTCTCTTGCTGTGCTCAGCTTTAGTGATGCACGAGCTGAGGAGAGACCTGCCTACAGCTTCCACTTCTGTACACCAGGTGGGGCAGAGGAAGCAAGTGCAGCCTCATCCCATAGCCTTGGGTTGTAGTGGTCCTTCTCCCTACACAGGGCAGGCAGAGAGCCTGGCTTTCTGCTGGGAGGCTGCATGTCACCAGGAACAGGCTCATGAAGCAGGTTTCCAGCCCTGCACCTTTCATGGGTGATGTAGACAAGCTGAATTCTGTTCTGAACCCAGCTTTGTCTGCTGCCTCATCACAAGCACCTGCACAGTCTCTAGTCAGATCAGATCCTTGAGGTTTGTATTCCGTCACCGTCCCTACACTGATGGCTGGGGTCTGAAGTTCATAAATAATCTTTTCTCACTTCAGATATTATCCTTAGTTATCATTAGCTTAAGTTTTGATTTTAAACAAGTTTCTGATGCATCAGTTAAAGAAGTAGTGGACATCCAGAATCTGTGAATGTGCTAGCTCTGACTCTGCTGTTGTGGTTACCTTTTTCAGGACTATCCTACTGAGTGTAATCTCTTTGCTTAATGAGCCCAATACGTTCTCTCCTGCCAATGTGGATGCATCAGTCATGTTCAGGAAATGGAGGGACAGTAAAGGAAAAGACAAGGAGTATGCTGAAATCATAAGGTAAGCTTTGCCATGTGTGATGCTGTGCTGCTTTGAACCCTGTAAAACAGGCTGCTGGCAGAATTTGCTGAAACCAGCTTCTCGCTGTGGTTGCTTCTTCAGAAATGAATTTTACCACCTTATTCCAAGTCTAAGTTTCTGGTCTGTCTAGGATTTTCAGCACACAGAAGCAGTGAAAACGTATGGAATATGAGGACTGGGATGATCTGTCTTTAAATTGTTCATTTTCAGACTAATCTGGCATGAAGCTCTGCAAAACCTATTGGCTGTTAGTAAATCCCAGTGGAAGGCCCTGCTTGCCTTTGAGCACTGCCCACATTGCTTGGGATGTAATTAAAACTGACTGCGTCCTGTGTCGTGGTTTGAGCCCGGTCAGCGGCTAAACGCCCCGCAGCCGCTCACCCACCCTCCCCCCACTTGGGAACGGGGAGGGAACCGGAGGGGCAAAGGGAGACTCGCGGGTTGAGGTAAAAACAGTTTAGTAACAGTGACAGAACAATACGCTGACAGCAGTATCAGCAGGTAATGTACAACACACCTGCCCCTGGCCGGTGATCCCCAACACCAAGGCCCCACGGCCACACTCCCGGCCCTCTCCTGCCTTTATATAGTGAGCACAGTGTCACATGACATGGACTATCGGCCAATCAGGGCCCAGCCCTCCAGCTGTGCTCCCCCCACCCCCGCACACAGGTGAGGGCACTGGGGCCTGGGGAGCCCCTGGGGTCTCAGGGGGCTGCAGCTCCTCCAGCTACTAAAACAAACAGGAACTCTAGTCCAGCCCCAACCAGGACATCCTGCTAATTCCGTGCTTAATGCACTCATGAATCATAATCTTGTCCCTCCGATTCAAAGGAGTATCAGCAGGATTTGGTAAGAGCTTGCAAATCTGGGTTTGATGGGCTGGAAGCACTGTTCAGTCTTCACTGCCCCTTGCTGAGAAGTTCATGGTTTATCAGGGGCTGCGAGGAGATGCTGTAAACTTGAGCCGGGGTTGGTGTAGAGCAGTGGACGGGCAGCCCGTACTGCGGTGGGACCGCTTGCCTGGGGCAGAGCCACGGCCACCAACTCCGTTGGCTGGGCGTGCAGGGTACGCGCCTGGTTGGAGCTACACAGGGCAGTCAGTCTGCGCGAAGAGCCTCGCCGGGAGGTTATCCTAGCCCCCTCCAGCTCCCGTGGCTTCAGCGGAGCCGGATGGAGCCACAGCTTGTGGCAGAGTGACAAGCAGGCGGGCGGGGGTGAAGGGGCAGGCTGCTGCCTGCTCCCCGCCCTGCTGGGAGGCAGCACAGGCCAGCGAGGGCTGACAGCCTGAGTGCTGCCGGGAGGCAGCAGCCAGAGCCTGTCCCGGGGTGACGGGAAACACTTGTCTTCTGCCAGCCTCGGGCAGCGCCGGGGTTACGGCTGTGTCTCGGGGTGCATCCACCTTCTTCAACTGCTGTTGCCCTCCGCTGGGAGCTCGGAGATGCCAAATGTGTGTGGGAGTTGCACTTACGAGCACTCCGGGGCAGAGTCATCAGTGGTGGGGCCGCTAAGTCGTCGTAGGAAATCCCTGAGCATCCCTCGCCTAGCAAATGTCATAAAGTTTGTTCTGAGCGCCGTCAGGTCTCTGGTGCGGAGTCCTGCAGGGTGACTGGTTTCACGTGTTGCTGGGAGCGTGTGTGCTGTAAACACCCTTGGAGTGCTCCCAAGCCTGGGGCTGTGGGAACTGAATCTGCATGTGTTGCTTCAGCCAAACATCATCTCTCCCGCCTGGGCTGCCAGGAGGGCTGGGCTGGGGCTGCCGGGAGGTGGGGAGTTGAGCCACGCTGCTGCTGGCACCGGGCCCCACTCACGTTGCTGTGTCATCCTCCCCGCAGGAAACAGGTTTTGGCTACCAAAGCCGAGGCAGAGAAGGATGGTGTGAAGGTCCCCACTACACTGGCAGAGTACTGCATCAAAACTAAAGTGCCTTCCAATGACAACAGTTCAGATTTGCTTTACGACGACTTGTACGATGATGACATTGATGATGAAGACGAGGAGGAGGAGGATGCCGACTGTTACGATGATGACGATTCTGGCAATGAGGAGTCGTGACCTGCTCCCTCTATGCCCCTGTACTGCCCTGCCAACTCAGGCCAGAAGGGAGCAGCGGTAACCTAGCAGCAGTCCAGCAAAAAAGTGTGTGGGGGGGGGATCAAAAAAAAAACTTTTTGTCTCCTGCTGTCTCCTGTTGTATGGATCTGTTTGCTCCTTTTTTATGGACCTCTTAGAGACCCTCCACAGAATGTCTGAATTCTTGCATTCTTAACCCTTTCATCACTGTATTATTTCTTTTTAAGAAAGAAACTCCCCTTTTCACTTCTCTACAAAACGCTCACAGCACAACAGGTTTGCTCGCGTTTAGATTCTTGAATTAAATGCAGTCTTGCATTGAGATGTTTAATGTATTTAAAGCTGGAACAAACCCATCAGAAGCTGGGTGTTTGGGAGCTCAAGTACTGCATTTGCTGGGAAGAAAAAAAAAAATCCACACAAAGCAAATTGCCAAGGTTTAGCTGCTCCATTTACAATAATAGCGTGTGTACATTCGTTTAGCCTTGTGGTGGTGGCTTTTCCTTTATAAGGTGTGGGGCGGAGAGTGTAAAGCTACTGTGTGTTGAGCTTGATGGGATGTCACTGAAAGGTACAGTATTCCTTTTCAGCCTGCTCAAGTTGAATAGTTGGCTCCTGGAGCCCCAGAGGGCACAATCAGCTTTGTCTCTGAAAAAGGGTCGTGATATGAACCCTAAAATAAACACTTAACACTTCATGTCTGTACAACTGAGCCCTGCGTTGCTTTTTTTTTTTTTTTTTTTTTTTCCCAGTCCAGTTTGGGGTTGAAAAAGTTCAGTTTAGCCATGTTGCCGAAATCTGCTGCCAGCTGCCCCTCTCTGGAGGAAGGAGAACCGACATGCATTCCGCTGCCCAGCGGGCCAGCATTCATCCTGCATTTCTTTCTGACAGCGGGAGACACTGATAGCCTCCTCCCCCAGTGCTTGCTAGCAGCTCTTGATTCCTGCAGCCCAAGTCCAGAGCCTTTTTTTCTGTTGCTTATGTAGGTCATGTGCTGGTAAATGCAGCCCTGCTATAACCCCACGGGCTCTGGTGGGGTGGGTAGAAGTCAAAGCTGGTTTTGGGGTGGCCAGGATTTCCCTGTGCCTGCTGTGGCAGAGGGGAGGGATGCGTGCTGGGCCCTTCCCTGCCTGGCTGGGGCATGGCTGAGCATGTGCAGCCCCACAAGAGGAAGCACACAGTGCTTTTGGGCTGGAAGAGAAGGCCAGCGGCAGGGTTTGATGGGCTATTTAGCAGCATGCTTCAGCTGGCGCACTGAGCTTGTCCTCCTGCATGTTTTTGGGAGCTCGTGGCGGAGCTTAGGGCCTTCCCTCCTGGGCAGGTGTGATCCTGCATGCTCGTGCCTGCAGAACCCCCTCCCTCAGTCTCTCGGCATCCTCACCCCCTTGCAGCTCGCTGCTCACGTTCTCGGCTGCGCTGCGGTGGCTGGAATTCCCGTCTCGCATGCTCCCTGGGTGGGCAGCCAGCCCTGCCCTCCTGCCCCCCTGCCCTGGCACCCGCAGGAGCAGCTCTGAGGCGCTGCTGGCCCTGCTCGGGCGAGACCCTCCATTCCCACGGGTACAGAGGTGGTTTCCCCGGCAAGAGCTGCAGGCTTGGGCATTTCTTCATGCCTCCCCTTTGTCTATCTCAGGGTTTCCAATGGTACGTCACCAGCTGCGGTCCCTCAAGGGGGTGCTTTGTTGGGAGTAGACTTTGTTCTGCGGTCAGCTCAGTGGCTTCGTCCCGGGGCGAGGGGTGGGGATGAGCCCCGGCAAGCTCCAGGCGTGCTGCCGGGAGGAGGGAGAGGAGGGGAGGAAGGCTGGTGGGGCTCTGAAGTGAGCAAGGCAGATGTGTTTTCGCAATGCTGCCTGCCTGGGATTTGCTGCAGCAGGGACAGTCCCTGCCCCTCTGCCCCAGGGTGTGCTAGCGGTGCACCCCTCGGCCCCCGGCGGAGTAAAGGCAGCCCGAAGTGGTGATGCCTTGTCCCCCAGTGCTCCCCGCGGTGGTCTGCCCTCCTGCTTGCATGTTCCCCTCAGCCCCTGGTGCTTTTTGGAGCCAGCAGTGGGGGTTCCCCTGCATCTAGTGATGGCGTGGGGCCCCCCCCAGCTTCGCCCCAGCCCTGCAGGGGCAGTGCCAGCGTTGGCGAATGGGTCCCTGTGCCTCCTGGCCACCGCACTGGTCTTGGGGATGTCCTGGGACAGGGACACCAACCTCCAGCTTTTGGGGATCTGTTTTGGGGTGAAGGAGCAGACTATGGCAATGCTGGCTGTGTTGATGACTTGGTTTGAAATGAGGATACTGCATCTTTCAGGATTTCCTGTGTACTTTTGACCGTCTTCACTGTATACTTTCCAGTGACTTGTATTTTCAAGCTTGATGTTGTAAGATGCATTACCATGACTCTTCTGTTACCTTTTTTTAAAGGTAAAAAGCAACCTATTTTGAGAGCTCCTACATAAACCAGACTGATTTCTCTTCCCTGCTGTCCTGTGCAGTGTCATTGCTTGTTGACTTGCTGGTTTCCTTTCTTTGAGATACAAACTGAAGTATGAGGGTTTTTTGAAACTATTTAAGAGATTGCAGAAAAATGTTTACCTGATCTGTGTATTCTGGTTTTTTTCTTAACCCTTTTCTCATGTCTCAGCCAATACTACTAGCGTTTACATTTGCAACTACATAGCCCCTTCAAATGCAGTTTTCAACCATTCTGAAACCAGCAGGGTACACTAGATTTCTTAGTAGTTTTCTTAGCTGAAATCCCAGCTGTTTTCCTTTTTTTCTTCAGTATAATTTACCAGAAAGAATTAACTGATGCATTTTTGTGTTGTCTCCCCCTTCAGTAGTTATATTTTGTCTTTTCTGCACATCTGTCTACTAATAAAAATGTGAAATGACAATATCCCTGTACTCTTACTTCCCTGTTAATTGAGCTTGTTTATTTGCATGGATTACTTAAAGCTTTGGAGAACAGCTACTCACAAGTTCGGTGCTGCTCCAGCATCAATGCCTATACATACACATAAATAAAACAGTGCTGCTCTTTGAAAGCTGCCTGCCTGAACCCAAGACTAAAGAATGAACTGGTTAAGAGAAGTACCTGGCCTCGGGCTTCGCTCTGGTAATTAGTCTTCTGAAGTCAGGCAGAGGGAGACCTAGGGGAAGATGGTTTATGCTCTCATGGGACTGCAGCAGGGGCTTGGGAGTGGGGGCAGAGCTGCGGGCAGGGTAGGGGCAGAGCGCTCAGACAAGGCGGGAGGCTCCTTGCTGGGGCAGGGAGCTTTGACCTGATGCATCAGACTGGCAGAGGAATTGAGGGCATTGCTGCCAGCCCCTCAGGGTGCTTGTCCTGCCTGGCCAGTGCCGTTCCCTGCAAGCTCAAGAGTGAAGAAGTTTGCTTCTGCAGTGCCTCACAGCTGCAGTTGAGCTAAAATTATCAGGACAAGTGTACAGGAGTTGCACTCGCTGCACTTGGCATCGTTTGCGGCGCAGCAACTGCTGAGTCAAACGTGGTTGTGGCCTGAGTGCTTCGGCTTCACAGCTGTGCTGGAGGAATGGTGATGGCATGTCAGGGCTGCGCTCCCAGAGTTTCTGTACCGGGGAGCAGGACTGAGCGCGATGGTGCTGTCTGTGCTGACTGGGATCAGGCTGGCTTGTACCTCCTGCCTGGCTCCTATGGCACTGGGCTGCCCAGAGCTGCTTCACCCAGCAGAAGGTGTGGTACCAAAGGCAGGACAACCTCTCCAGCCCACCCTGCACCGTGTAAACCCAACAGCCACTTGCACAGAGTTTGTTTGTTTTTTTTTTTTTTTTTTTTTCCCCCCTCCTTTCCTTGATGGCCAGGTGCAGCTGAGCTGCCTTGGCTTTACCATCAGACTGTGGACCAGGAGGTTGGAGAGGAGATTGCTGCAGGAGAGCCCTGCTGGAACCAACAGCATAAGGCAATGGGAAAAGATCCTGTTTAGGGTCACCTGGAGAGGAGACTGCCTGCAGCTGACTGCAGTGCTGCTGGCGGGCAGCACCCTGGGGCAGCTGGGAAGGTGCTGGAGATGCCTTTGCTGCCTTGCACTGGGGAAGAGGAGGGCCCTTGCCTCCAGGCATGGCAGCGCTGCTTCTGTGCCCACAGCCACGGCTGAGGACGGACGGTGTGCTGCTGGGGACAGGGGAGAAGCACTGGGTGAAGTCCTTGTGGGCGTCTCCCTTGCAGCGGCTCTGCACCAAACCTGGGGCTCAGGGTGCTGCGGCGCGCTGGCACAAACTCTCTGTTGCCTTTTGCCACCGCTTCTGGGCCCTGACACACAAGCAAAGACTGACCTGCGCCTGTGAGGCAGCAGTGGCTTTCTATAAACAAGAAACTACGTGTGGGAAAAGGAAGTTTGTTTTTCAAAGCCTAGCTGGAGTGAAGCAGCAGCTCTGAACACGAGTGAATGAGGTGCCACGGCTGTGAGCCCTGTGGGCTCAGCTGCTGGTGCGGCCCTTGCACGAGCTGACCCCAAGGCCCCAGCCTGCAGGAACAGTTTTGCATTCTTTGACATTCCGGCCCCAAAGCCTGGGGCAGTGGGACAGCAGCTGCCAAGGCCTCGGAGCAGCTGCTGAAGTTCAGTGTCAAAAGTTGAGCTGGGGACTAGGAAGGCCAGGGCAGTTCATGTGCTGCTCCAAGGTACGGGGGGCTGGGCATCACACTGACTTCCCCTAAGCCAGCTGGATCCCACAGGACCCGAGTGTTGATCAAAGTATGATTCTAAGAAGGTAAAGTGGTTCTCAGGGTAGAAACAGATTTTTTTTTTTTTTCCTTCTCTCCTTGTGGGTCTTGGAACAGAACTGGGAAGTACAAACAAGGCCCTTGCCTGCTGTGTGAACACAGATGGCTCCACACCTACCCACCTCTGCTGCGCGGGATGAGCCCAGGGCAGGAACCATCACCACCCAACCTTCCTCCCCGGCGAGGCCATCGACCTCGCGGGCGAAGCGAGGGAGGGCAGCGCTGCGGCCGCGCTCCCTCCTCGCCTCCCCCGGCCGTGCCGCGGGGACTCCCGAGCAAGACGCCGGAGGACAGACAGCAAAGGCAGCGAAGTGATGCTTGTGGCAGCAGGCAGGGCGCTGCCCAGGTGCCTGCGAGCTCTCTGAGCACCGAGGGGCACTCACCGCCGACACACGGCGTTCGGCATCCCCCGCAGACCCGTCGGCTGCACTCACCCTCCCAGCTCAGCTGTTGTCGCAGCAGCAGGCGGAAAGGGGACGGGCTGCGAAGGCAAAACTGCTCCCCGAGCCTTTGACAATGCAGACAAACACCAGGGACACGCTCAGATCTTTATTAGGTGGAGGAAGGGCTAAAAAGAAATAAAACTCCTAAAACATCCACTGCACTGGTGCAGGACAAGAAGGACCAGGAGTTGCCTCCGGGGTCTTTGTTTTAAAAAAAGTGGGGAGGGACAAGTGAAGTTTCCATCCAGTAGCTCTGGCTTTCCTGGGCAGCGTGGCTCACGGCAAAAAGAGGTACAAGACACAGCTTATACTTTTATTTAAGAAACCGCTACATAGTTTTTGCCTTTAATGATGCAAAGGAGGTTCCAGGACACACTGAGCCATCCAAAGTCTCTTGCTAGAGAAACAAACAAACAAACAAACAAACAAACAAAAAAAAAAAAACAACCAAACAACCCCAAACACAAATAAAACCCTGTCTTTTTTTTTTTTTTTTTTATTATTATTCTAAAATTTAAAAATAAAAAGGTGAGGCTGCAGCTCAGGGCCACAGTGACCAAACTGCCCATGAGAGTTCATCTTACATAGCAGGAGGGAGGGGGGACATGAAAGAAAGGGGAAGGCCCACAAAACATTTATTTTTCTTCCTTTTTTTTTTTTTTTCTTTAAAGTAACAGCTATACTGGGGGCTGAGGGCAGAAATCAAACCAACAAAACACATCTTGATTTGCTTTTTTTTGGGGGGACAGGCCTCCTTATTTGCCTGAATTTAGAACTGCATTAAATAAATGGGCTCCAGCTCCAAAAAAAATGGCATAGTTTGTCTGTGACAGAGTTACAATGCCCATAGAGCTTTAAAAAACAAGGAAGGATGCCCTGGTGCAGATGGGAAACGAATAATTAGTTTTCCTACAAAGAAAATAAAACAGGCTGCAAGATGCAGAAAACCACATTTAGGCTCTATTACATTTACAAATACATACATAAATATATTACATACAACAGCAACTCAAAGAGGAAGCGGGCGAGTCACACAGAAGATGGCTGGCTGGCTGCAGTTCTCCCCGCACAGACGTTTGGCTGAGCAGTTATTTTTCCTAATAATTCCAGGAATGGGCTTCGGCATTTTTTTTTCTTTTTCTCTTCTCTTTTGTTGTTTTTGTTTTGTTTTGTTTTTTCCTTTTTTTTTTTTTTTTTTTTTTTTTCCTCCTCCTCCTCCTCTCCTTTCATTTTCTCCTCCCTCCTGGTTTCAGATTTAGTTTGTCCAGTATGGAGAAGTGCCATAGGCGGTTTTGGTAGCCTGAGACTTTTGCTGCATGGTGCTGGGTTGGTTGCGTTGGCCAGATCCACCCTACAAATCGGAAATGAAGGAGATATGGGCATCAGCTGCCATAGCACCAGTGCTCCCAGGAAGATGAAGTGCTCCCTGTCACCAGAAGAGCTGCCACCCCTGGGGACAGCCCTGACACCCACCAATGCAGCGATGCTCCCCCCTGAACGGATCCATCTCTGCCCTGCAACATCTCTGCATCTCGCAATCCAGGACCAGCAGCCACCGAAACACCAAGCAGGAGTGTGGGGGCACCGCCCCACTGCCCTCCCCCTCCCCAAGACAGGTTCAAGCACAAGGACGGAGAGGAGCAGGACTGGGGACAGTGAAGGAGCTCTCTCAAGGTGGACAGAGGCGGGGATCCACCAGCTGGGGATGTCACACATTTGGAGAGAGAAGTAATTTCCTCCTTCTGGACTCTTAAGGCAGAACACTCTGGTTTTGCAGGGAATATTTATAGTGAGGAAAGGAAATGCATGGGCTGATGAAACCAACTCAGAGCTGACATGCAACCTGCAAGGGGATGCTTGACTCTCCCGCCTCGAGTTCCAGTACAAGTGCTCACGTCCCACTCTCCCGCCGCAGCCAGGGAACAGCAGCGCCTGCCTCGGCTTCGCACCTCACAGCCCATCTCCACACCCCACATCAGGATGGCCTCTTCTCAGAGCCCCACATCAGGATGGCCTCTTCTCAGAACTACGGGCTGGCTGAGGCTGGCAGGGACCTCTCGAGGTATCTTGTCCAACCCCTCTGCTCAAGCAGGGTCACCTAGAGCCAGTTGCCAAGGGCCATGTCCAGACAGCTCCAAGGATGGAGACTCCACCACCTCTCTGGGCAAACTGTGCCAGTGCTTGGTCACCATCCCAGCAAAAAAGTGTTTCCTGACGTTCAGAGGAACCTCTTGTGTTTCAGTTTGTGCCCATTGCCTCCTGTCCTGTCACTGGACACCACTGGAAAGAGCCTGGTTCTGTCCTCTTCACACCCTCCCTTCAGATATTTATATACATTGATGTGATTCCCCCCAGCCTTCTCTTCTCCAGGCTGAGCAGTCCCAGCTCTCCCAGCCTTTCCCCATAGGAGAGATGATCCGGTCCCTTCATCATCCTCGTGGCCCTTTGTTGGATTCTCTAGTACATCCATGTCTCTCTTGTACTGGTGAGCCCAGCACTGGACACAGCACTCCAGGTGTGGCCTCACCAGTGCTGAGCAGAGGGGAAGGATCACCTCCATCAACCTGCTGGCAACACTCTGCCTACTGCAGCCCAGGGTCCCATGGGCCTGCTTTGTGGCAAGGGCACACTGTTGTTGGCTCACGGTCAACTTGGTGTCCACCGGGACCCTCAGGGCCTTTTCTGCAAAGCTGCTTTGGCCCCCAGCATATACTGGTGCACATAGGGTTGTTCCTCCCCAGGGGCAGGACTTGGCATTCTCCCTTGCTGAACTTCATGAGGTTCCCTCCCCAGGCTGGTCAACGGCTTCGAGTCTGTCAGTCTGCAAACATTGTCGAGGCCCTTTCCCAATGAGCGAAGCAAAAACCAGAAGGAAGCAAAAACCCCCAAGACCCAGCTGGGATGTGGGTGGGAACAATCTGCCCTCAGGCATGCTGCAGAGGCAGAAAGGGCCGACTCACCTGCCCATCTTGCTGGAGATGGTGATGCAGCATCTGGGAATGAGGCTGCTGATGAGCAGGCAGGATATGGAGAAATGGGGCTGGAGCATAACCCGGGGCAGCACCAGGGTTCAGGGGCCCAGTCGATCCGAGAGCAGAGGGCAGGCTGAAAGGAGGCGGCGTGCCAGCATGGAATCCCTGCTTGTCATACGTCTGCACGGGAGGCGAGGGGGGACAGCATCAGAGAGTGGTGTGAGCAGCCCCACGGTGACCAGACAAGAATAAGAGTAGCCCAAACACACCTCACCTGAACCTTTCACCAACCCCCATGAGCGAGTCAAATCACATCGAATACCTGCAAGCACTTCAGCAGATGAGTTTCAGCTCCTGTTCTCACCCATATTTCTGCACTAATTCCTCCAACATTTGGTTTTATTTTCACGCTATTGTGTTCCTTTTTTCCCTGACCTCTTTTCACTCAGTGGGACATGAGACTGCAGCAGCTGCCTGAAATCAGTCCTTCATACACTGCAGGGTCTCAGCATGGAATTACTCGACCTACCCAGGGCAGCAGAACTCGCAATAAGATTTTCCTCCTCCTGGCCAAAGCTTGACCCCTAACACTAAGTGTGTAACAGAGCTGGCTTCCTACCTGTAAGCATGGATCACAGCCAGACATTCCCCTGGATGAGGGTGTAGAGAGGAGAAAACAGGAGCTGGACATAAGCTCACTGCACACCATGGCTGGACAAAGTGTTTTCTGCTTTCCCTGGGAAGCTGTACGCTGGGGATTGGCCACAGGAGAGTGTGGGACAGGGACCCTCGGATGTTAGGGGTGGGCACTACTGGCTGGTCTGTATGGTGAAAAGCAAAAAGCCTCTCCACTCACCTTCACTGGGGGCTACTTTGACTAAAAAGATTAGCACCATCACATTTCATTTGCACCCAGGCTGCAGCTCGCACGGGCCTGCGTGTGGCAGCGTAGAGCGGTGTGCCCCTGCCAGCAGCTGCCGCGGTAGAAGGAACGGGGCAGAGAGAGAGGCTCCATGCCAACAGCAAACAGCCAGCCTAAGAAATGCCATGGCCTGCTGCCCCTGAGACAGGCCAGCCTGGGAACAGGGCAGCCATCAGCCTGGACCCAGGCCAGAGGGGAGGAGGGTCCAGCGTTGCTCACCTGAGTCTTGTTATAGACTGAGCCACTGATGTCAGGCACACCTGTGTTACTTGAGGTCACAGAAACACCTGGAAAACAAAACACCACTGACAATGAGAAAGTCAACCACCATGCGGCATGAGCCCCGTGCTTTGCTCCCTGCACCACCACGGATGCACCTTTGCCTGCAGTCGCTGCACCACCGGCCCTGCTGCCGCTGCTGCCAGCCCCGCGGGGTTCTCCGTGCTCTCAGACCCACGGCACCCCACTCGGGAACAGCAGAAAGGGTTTGGTTCCTTGCTTCTGCTGCGAAGCGGGAAATCAGCCCGCTGGGATAAATCACCCACATCCACGACCCAGCGGTTACCGCTTGGATGCAAACGCATTTCACCAGGCAGCAGCTGCCTGCACCGAACACTCATTTAAACTCATGAAAAGTCAGGTTTCCCCTAGGATTAGGGATGCTTTTGGCTCTGTTGCAGCATTCAAGAGCTTTCCAGTAGTGCACTGAGCGATGAGACTCAGCATCTGCTACACATTTGAACCCTTGTCCTTTTACATTCTGCAGGAGGGTGAGGTCTGCAATGCTCCTCTGCCCTGAGAGAATAAGTATCACTGGTTCAGGCTGGCCTCCACCTGGACCAGCTGATGCCACAACAGGCTCAGAAACACTCACTGTGAGTAAGAGGCCCTCAAACCAGTCACTTATTCATAGATTTACAAAGACTGGCTCTAATCATTTCACTTGGACTGTAATAAAACCAGTGGTTCCTTTGACCAGTGACTCAGAGGACTGGACTCAGGGTGTGCATTGCTCTGAGGTTGTACCCTTCCTAGGACATTCCTCCTTTTTGGATTGCTGCTCCACAGAGGGCAGCATGATCAGCTCTTGGCTGAAGACAGTCCAGCTGGTGTTTCAAATGCACAGTAAATGCTTGGTATTTGCTTAAGCCCAAGGATGAGCCAGTTAGTGCTAAGCAGTTCAGTATACATTTCTCAGGTCTAACCAGCATGAGCAGAATAAAGCTTTCACATAAGCTGTATAAATTCTTCAGCCTTTACAGTCACAAAGGAAACATTTCCAGGCATGAAACAAAGTGATGAGTTACAGGGTATATGAACAGCAGCTGAAACAACAGCCAGAGATGTGTGAACTGCCCTGTTCATCCCTAACACACAGCTATCTCAGGTGCCTACCAAGAAACTCAAGATCTATTTGTTTGGCAGAGGACCATTTCAGCAGCAGCATCCAACTGCTCAGGTTTCAGCACTGCTACAGCACCACTATACTTCAGCAAAGAAAACTTCAGCAGAGTAAACAGCTCACCATTTCTCCCATCTATAACTGTGGACAAAGCTGCGCATCAGCCACACAAATCCTTATGCAACGTTCAGCCATGAGGTTTAGAAGGAATATTTGGGCCTTTAAAAAAGGATTTTGTATACGGGAGATGGAGAAACATCTTGGAGAGTGACCCTGTTTAGAGCTGGCTGCTGTGTTGACTGCACAGCACTGGGAGCTCGCCTTGCTAAATCCCACTCAAGAGCAACCTCAAGTCTCACGTGTTACCTTTCCCAGGTCCAGTGCCAGCAGATTTGTTTTGTGCTTGAGATGACCCACTGTAGCCTCCTTTGCTGTAATCTCCAGCTGCTGTTCCCTGCGTTAAGTCATCATAGCCTGCCGGTGTGTACAAGACAAGGTGTTACAGTGCGCAAGCAGCTCTGCAGATGCTCACGTGAACAGCGCAGTGGTAAGCATACCTGCTCCATAGCCGTGCTGCCCGTAGCCACTCGCTTGCTGGAAAGGAGTCGACGCGGTGTTCAGGTTGACTCCATGCTGCTTAGCAGATGCTGGAGGTACCTGGACAAAGGAAGGCAACAAAAGGCACTGTTAACCGGGGAGCAGCAGGCAAAATGCAAACTCCCTCTGCCACCTAGTGGGGATGGCACCGGCATCTCCACCTCGCGTGGGAAATTCGATCTGCAGCTGGGAGCACTGGCATGGCATGGGACGAGGCACTCACGCTTCCAGCAGTAACTTGCTGTACTGGGTTTGTGCAAGCCCCAGGTTTTCTGCTAGAGCTGCCCCCCTGGTTGCAGTGCAACCCTCTCTCAGAACAGGTTGCGTATGTCTTTCATACACTGAATGTAAACAGCAAATTCTTACCCACAAACCCAGGAAGGAGCAACCACAGTGCTCTCCCTCCTGAATCAGACAAAACATCAATTCCTGCCTGAGGCTGTTTCATAAAACACTGTCTCACAGGGCCCTAAAATAGACTTATCTACCCTTCTGACTGAAGCATCACCTTCTCCCAAATAACCTTCTGCCTGACACTACTAAGCACTGCTCTCTGACTTAATGGAGGCTCCTCCATCCTCAAAAGGATTTCCTAGGCATTCTCAGCTCACTGACTCAGCTTTGGACCTCCCTTTGACTCTCCAGAGACTGGTAAGGGCTTTCATGAACACTGAGTCCATGAGCTAGCTGTCTGCTATTTACAGTAAACCTGCACACGAGTCCATGAGTTCTGGCCTTTTAAATTTCCTGTTTTCTTGGGGAAGGGACTGCAGATATTTTCTCACAACTGCATGTACTTGGAGATCCCTTGCAGACTGGGGAACCTGATTCTATTCTATTCTTACGAGACCCGACCAGAGTACTGGATCCAGCTCTGGGATCCCCAGTATGAGAAAGACATGGCCCTGGAGAAGAGAAGGCTCCAGGGAGACCTTATTACAGCCTTTCAATACTTAAAGGGGGCTTATAAGGAAGACAGAAAAACTTTTTACCAGGCCCTGTAGTGACAGGACAAAGGGCAACAGTTTTAAACTGAATGAGGGCAGATTTAGATTGGACATAAGGAATAAATTCTTCCCTGTGAGGGTGGTGAGGCGCTGGCCCAGGGTGCCCAGAGCAGCTGTGGCTGCCCCCTCCCTGGAAGGGTTCCAGGCCAGGCTGGACGGGGCTGGGAGCCCCCTGGGCTGGGGGAAGGGGGCCCTGCCCGTGGCAGGGGGGGTGGAACTAGATGATCTTTAAGGTCCCTCCCAACCCAAATCATTCTGCGATTCTATGATATGGAAGGTTTGGGCTGGAGAGCACAAAACCAGAGAGGCATGAAGGGAGAGTTACAGGTCAGGCTGTCACACTTACAAACATGGTTGGCCCATACTGGAACGCACTGGGTACACCAGGCACACCAGCGTAATAAGGTAACCCAGTGTAGCTGTACCCTGGGGGCAGGGTCGGGTTGAGGAAGGGCTGCTGAGTTGTATGGTGAGTCTGTGTCTGGTTCTGCTGTGGCTGGGCGAGTGTGGTAGCAGGAGCAGGGGAGGCAGAATCCCCACGGCCAAATTTTGTTACGTCACCTGTGAAAGAAAGAACTGATCAGAAAAGCTATCAAAGCCACTCCAAAAGCAGAGAACTCAAAGGATTCAAATCCTTTGAATACAAGTAGACAACTACAGAAGAGAGTACACCCTACACTTGAAAGGCTGCAGTTGCTCATGGGAAGAACTCTCCCGGTCTCTGTTCCTGATGGCCACAGGGACATTGCCTGCTCATGGCACAGAACTCTGTGCCATGGCTAATCCATTGATAAAATGGAGATACCAGTACTTACCTATCTGACATGGTCTGAGTAGATTCATTACTATCAGATCATTGCAATAAAACAGGCTAAAAGCAGAAGTATGGTAAATAGCCAAAGAGCAAATGGTTGTTGGGTTAAAGTGTGACTCTCCTGGAGGTTAAACTGATTAGCTGAGCTTCATGGGCTGAAAGCAAGTTAGGATTTACAGGCAGCGATGGGCGTATTTTTGTCAATGTCTGTTTATTTGCTAAGCATGACTAATTATATGTCCGTTTCCTCACACCACCAAAGTTCTGAAGACAGTAGCTGAAGGCCAGGAAAGCAAGGCTTGCATCGTGGGCCACCTTATTGAAGAAGTAGGAAGGGAAATTTGGTTATTAACCCAAAAGCAGCCTCCCAAGAGAAGTGATTACGCAGCAGAAAACTCCCAAACACTTGCATTTTCTGGTGGCCTACAGAGCAGCACGATCACATGTATTTTAGGGAGGTGACCTACATCAATCACATCTATCTCATTCCCAACCAGTATTCATTATGTTGGTAACCAAGAAGCATGACAACACTTAATACTATCATTACAGGAATTATAATGCCTATGGCTACAGTTTTAAGCTGTAATCAGATAGCAGTGGATGAAAACCACTGGCTGAAAATCCGGGATGGCATTAATGTCATCTTTGCACAATGATAACTGAAGAGGAAGAGCAGGAATGAGGAGGGGCTTCTTCGACTATATGCTTTTGGGAATGAAGTCCATTAGATTTGGGGAGGGTGAAGGAGAGCCTACTAGGTGCAGCTCCTGCTGGGAACATACAAGTGCTAAAACAGCAATAGCAAAGTATGGGGAGGTGCTGCAAGGGGTATATTCCAGTGCCAGAAAAGGGAAAGCAAGCCAGCTGAATTTTGAGAAGAATGATTAGGTTATGGAGTATTTTTCAAGCACCTGTCTGTATGTGCCTGGGAAGGACACTAAATGACACTGCTGTTTACGTTCATAACATTTTTTCACTTATTCTCAAAGGCTATCCAACTTAGTCCCAGAAAAAGCCACATATGAATTACTGATCAAAACCATGAAGAAACATCAATGTCAGGGTTGAGAGGGAGATGCTCGCTTTTTGACTAGCTTGGACTGATGGGTTTAACTGCTTACAGAAGGGAAAAATGATTGCTCTTTCAGCAACAGCAGGATGACCTGCATTTAGAAACCAGCTCATTTTACTTACCAACCTCATCTTTAAATAGCACTCACCTGAGTACGGGTTGTTAGCAAGGCTCCCATCTCTGCCCGTCAAGGTTGCAGGAGCAGGGAATGTAATTCCGTAGTAATCCTTGGAAAGAGATAACACGTTTTTTTAACTGTTGAAATCATAACAGAAGTGGACAACTCTTAACCCCACACGATATGCATTAGAAAATCTAAAAAGGACAAACTACAGGAAGTTAGGGCAGAAGCTGACCTTATCACTTACAGCAGATCTAAAGATTTACCTGGATCCTCAACTTCAAAATAAACCTACTTTATAGACATTTTCAATATTATATACAAACACTTCATCTCTTAATGGTAAGGTTAAAGGCACAACTAAATGCCTTCCCCTCCCAGTCCTCAGCTCTGAGCTGTCATCTGCCAACAAGACTGCACCTGGAAGAGCAAAAGGCCATCAGGAGCCAAAGACGTGGGGTCAGGCCAGGACCATAATCACAGCGTGGATGTAGTCTAAAGGTTTTAGCCTTGTACCATGTCATGTTTTCTAAAAGTGGAAATGTCAGATAGGAAAACAGCATAAACATTCAAAAAATTAAAAAAAAAAAAGGGAGAAAAAGAGTCATTCCTGGATGACTGGAAAATTTATTTAAACTATGTTACAGGATATCTCAGATCAGTAGTCTCCAAAGTGGGGTGCACAAGATAATTTAAAAGTAAAGTAAAATTTAAAAAATTTAAAAAGTGTTTAACCTTTCTCTTATACTTTTTTATTTTTGTGCATGTTTGGTAACATACATGTTAGTACAGTAGTATACGTTTATAATTTAGAAATAAAAACATATTGGGAGGGAATCCTCATGGATTTTTTACTGATGGGGTATATGATCAAAAAAGGTGGAGGCCACTGCTTTAGATCATTCTCTTAGGTCCTCTACAGGAAGGTAACACAGTTCTCAGCCTAGAAAGCTTGCACTCCGAGATGACAGGACATGACTGCAAAACTAAAGCAGCATTTTATCTTCAATTTGGGATAAAAATAGAAAAGTTTGCCCTTCTCTTTATGGATGAACTCCCCCTATGGGGCTGGTACGTTACTAAGCGTTTTCCCTCCTAATTCTCATGGTTTACTCCTCACCAGTTCCAATCCACCAAGAGTTAATGCTTTAACCACTAGCATATTAATTTCCAACAACTCCAGCACTAGAAAAAGCCCCTCCTTCTTCATACCTCTCTCTGCCAATTCCCCAGCACCTCAAATGCTTTCTCAGAGTTGACAGCACCTTCCTGTCTTGCTGCATTTTTGTGCATCAGCCCCCTGTTTCCTATTACCAATCCTCCATCACTGAACACAAAACAATCTGGCAAAGATTTAGTATTAAAGGTGCTTTCTGTAACTTGAAATGATGTCTTATTTCATCATCCTTTCCCACCCAGGTAATTTCACCTTATCAACTCTGGCATGAATCACTTAACAAAACACAACCACCTTGACAATAAAAGCCTTATCAGGTTACTCAAAAACAGCATTCCTATCTCCTTCCAAGGAAAATGCCACAAAAAGCAGATTTGGAGAAGAGATCTGAACAGCATCTGATGGATATGAACTGGAACTTACACATTAGCATTTCCCCTATATAAACCAGACAAAATATAACCAAATCGCATGAAAACATGGTCTAAGGATTGCAATTATTCCCACTGCCCCTCAGGTGGGGGAAAAATCACATCAGCACTGCATATCCCTATCCCACACTCCTGTGCATACACACATTCAAAACAAAAAAAACAATCAGAAAATATAAGTGCAAGACAGTTATCTTTGCACTTCATGCCCACCCACAGCAAAACATCAGAAGAGATACTCTGCTCTCCAAGCAACATTGGTATTTCCTGACCTACAGAAAGCATGCAGTGGAAGGTGTCTAAAGTCAAAAGTGAAATATCAGGAATAGACTCAAAGGGTGAGATGGAAAAGGACTGAAAAATGATAACTCGTCTGATGTAATACATTTAAGCACAACGAAGCAGCTTGCTAGGAACCACACACACCAGCTAAGGCATCTGTAAGATCTCTGCCACACAGGCAGCCTGCAACAGACTAACTGAAAAGATAGCATTTCCCAAAGTAATACACACACACACACACATACAAAAAACCCACTGCCAAAAAACACAGTGAGAATTTACATCATCAACATAGACATCAATTAACTGATTTAAATTAAACCAGAATCCCCTCCCAAACCTCATGAGAAACCCCCATTCTTGATGTATCAGCAGCCACTGAAATTCCTTGACTCCCAGGAAGCAGTGATGACTTGCACTTGGGATTCTGCACACTTTCACTTTCTAGATGTATGCCAAAGAGCACGTCAAAGCCAAATATTCCCACCTCCTCCTGCCTCCCAAACACCTAATATTGCAGAGTTATTACAACAAATTCAAAACACAATGAAAAAAAATCTGGAAATCACAATCATTGTATGAATAGTTGATGAAAAATCATTTGTATCATTTATACATTTATTCTTAGTTATCAACACACTGAGGACAAACAATTAGGGGGTTGAAGGGGATGACAGATGTCCCCAAAATATTCTGTAAGATACTTTCAGAGAGAGGAAAAACTCTTCCTACAGCAAAGCTGCAGATGCAACAGAGAAAGGAAAATGAAAGAAAATAAAGTAATAGACTAACAAACTGAAAATATTTGTCAGTGAGAAATAAAGGAAAAGAGGGATTAATTCATATATACAAATAATACCAGAGCACGGAAAACAAAAAATATATGTTGGTAGGCTGAGAAATGTGAAAATAAAATGCAAGAAAACCAACTCATAATACAGACAAAAAGGAAATCCTGAAAAGCATCCCAAGCACAGCTGGCCAAAAGACGCAGCCACAAGAGCTTTCAAATCATGACCTGAACCACAACAGCACAGGAGTGGGACTCCCTCAGCAGCAGCCATGGGAAAGAACAAGCTCCACTTCTCGTGGAAAGGGCCAAGCTCCTGCTCACACTTTGGCAAGCACAACAAAAGCCCGGGGAGAAGGTAAACGGAAAGCAAAACTGAAAAGGGAAGCAGGGAAATTCTGCCTACTTGACGATGATGAAAGGAAAGCCACAGCACCACATAAAGCCGCCCGGCCGGCAGCACCCCAAGCACAGCGCCCACCCGCACCGCCACCACGCCGCACCCGCCTCCTGCCCAGCACCCCCCACGCGGCACCCACAGCCCCACCATGCCTGCGCCCGCAGCCCCACAGCCCCGCCTGCGCCCCGCCGCCCCGGCGCTCCTGCTCCTCCTGCCGCCTCTCGCCACCGCCCTCGCCTGCCACCACCTGCGGCCCCGCCACGCCACCTTCCCCTGGGACAGCCTCCAGCTCCTCCAGGCCGTGGCTCCCAGCCCGCCACAGCCCTGCCACCACCCGCACCCGCCCGCCTTCCCCGACACCCTCCTCCACACCCACCGCCCACAGCAAGCCGCCCACACCGCCCTACGCATCCTCCAGCACCTCTTCCACACCCTCAGCAGCCCCAGCACCCCCCAACACTGGGACCACGACGCACGCCACCGCCTCCTCAACAACCTCCAGCACCACATCCACCGCCTGGAGCAATGCGTGACAGCCAACAGGATGGACTTCCAAAGGCAAGGGCCCCGCAACCTGCCGCTCACCATCAGCAAACACTTCAGCGACATCCAACACTTCCTCCGCACCCACAACCACAGCGCCTGCGCCTGGGACCGCGTCCGCCTCCAGGCTCGCGCCTGGTTCCTACAGGTGGGCACACTGATCCGGCAAATGACGAGCCAAGACGCTCCTGCCCCCCACCCAGCCCACCTGCACCAGAGGTCCAGCCCCACCCAGCGCTGGCAGCCGCGTATCGAGCAGAGGCGGCAGCAGCCCGGGCTGGGATTGCTCAGCACTGCTCACACCTCTGCCAGCCAGCAGCCCGCACCGACGGGGAAACGGGCATGACCGCGGCAAGGGCCCGCACCCCTGCATCAGGGCCACAGCCTCGCTGCAAAGGGAGGACGAGGAAACTGCGCTGCTGCATGCTTACCGACAGCTGCGAGGCTCTGGGGAGAGGGCTGGTATTTCTTACCCACCGTGTGAGCTAGCCCGTCCAGCCTGTGACCTCCCCCGCTGGAGGGGAAGGCCCCCATGGACACTGCGGGACTCTTACGCCAATGACCACTGATCACAAAACTCTATCTATTTGTTTGCTTGTGCGTTAATTTATTTATTTATTTAGCCAGCCATTAATTTAAAAATTTGCATCTTTATTTATTCATTCACTTGTTGGAAATAAAGACTTTTCGAAAAGCAAAAACGAAGGAAAAAGAAAAGAGGTGTTCATCACGCGTGTACCTGACAGGCAAACCCAGGGTCCCTGCAGGCAGGCAGGGGTGAGCCTCCCTCCTGCAGCCCGTTCCACCAGTGCCCCACGTCCCAGTCGAAGGCTCCGGACAGCGGGTCCCTCTGGGCACCCACAATGGTCCTTCAAGCCCACAGGCATCCACTGCTGATGCCAGACCTCCAGGGCACACGTGCCCAGAGGACACGATGCCTGCCCCGCGCACTTCTCTCCCACCACCCACTCTCCCCCTTCCCAACCCCCTCCCACTGACAAGACATCAAAGCCACCTCCAAACCACCACCTCCTCACAAACCAGCACTCAGCAATGCCGCAGCACCGCCTGGGACCACGCAGGGTGGCGTAAACAAGGTGCATGCAACTCAAAGGGGCAAGGAGCGGACGCACCAAGGCATGCAGAGATTTGGACAGGCAACACCAGTCCAGGGCTACCCACCCCACCCAAGAAACACCAGAAAGCCTCTGAAAACACAGCACATGCCCAAGACTGCTCCTTGCTCGCCTACAGCCACCACAACTGGCCCAGGATGCTCCTGCCTGTGCTCACACACCAGTGGCCATGGGGACCTGCCTCGCTACACAGAGCTCATTCACTTAGCCCTTTTTCACCCCAACACATCCTTAGCAAATGAAAAGATACATCCCCAAAACACCACCATCCAACACGCTCCCAACCAACCAGCACAGACCAGACCAGCACAGCCCTCTCCTTACAGGAAACTGCCCTCACACCACCA